TTTTCTACATATTTTTTTGACGAACAAAATAAATGAATCACTAGATGATTCATTTGTAAGATGATTCACAAGAAAAAATTCCCAAAAAAACATCTTTATGATTCATTTTTAAGTAAATTAAGAAAAAATTCATTTTTATGACAATTTTAGTGAATAACAACAAAATCATTGTATAAATGAATGATCGAGATGTTTTTTTGAGAATTTTTTCTTGTGAATCATCTTAAAAATGAATCATCTAATGATTCATTTTGTTTGTTCGCGAAAAAAATATGTAGAAAAAAAACTTCTTACCTTCCTACCAAAAATTTCCTTCTTATTTGATCTTGACTCTCTATATATAGCCACCATTTTGACATTCACGTCGTGAGATTAAAACACAATCAAGAGCCCTGATTGCTTCATTGGTAACTTAAGGGTTTTCTTTTAATAATATTTAGAGATTACATCTTTTATAAAATATTATTATTTAATTGAAAAAGCCATTCATGAATTTTTTTTCAAGAAACCATACCCTACTCCCCCCACCCTCCCTTCCTTCCCTTTATTTTCGGCCGCCCCCCTTCATCCCATCTTATTCATTTGTTCATCTTCTTCCTCAAGAACAAGTTTTCCCTCTCAAGATTAATTCCCATAAGTTGGTTCTTGATCTCTTGGTAAGTTTTTCCTTACTAATCTAGTGATTCTATACATATATATACTAGTTTTGTTATAATTACACAAACTAATATGTGTTAATATCCATAGGATCTTTCAATCTTCAAGTGTTCTTAGCTTGAAATCTCTCATCTTCATCTCTTTATCCACCAAGAAACACACTCAAGGTGAGTTCATACCCCTCATTTTCATCTTTATTCAAGTTTTAGGGGGAGAATACAAGTAAACTTGTATAAATATGCAAGTTGTTATGCATGCCTTACTTTCATGTTGTGTAAAAATGTTATCTACATAAAATAATGTTATTACCTAGTATTATGAACATTTATGTGTGGTATGTTGTTTAAAATACAAATCTATGAAAAATGAGTATAAACATGCTATATGTTCTTAAGAAAAAGTCATAAAAACAAAACTATAAAACTATGGTTTTTATGAATATAATATAACTTTTCTAGCAAAAATGGTTATAACCAAGATATTACACCATTTTTGTGAGATATAAATCAAAATATGTTATTTTGGACATATGTTATGAAACTAGTTATAAATACCAAGGATTTGGTTTTATAAAAAGAAAACCTAAAAATCTATTACTTTATGTGAAAATTATGGTTTTCTAACAAAAAATGGTCGTAACCAGGTTATGATACCATTTTTGTGAGATTTGACCTAAAATATGTTGTTTTAAACATAAAAGGGTAACTTGACTTAAATGTAACGAAAAGGTAATAACAAATTTTACAAAGTTTATAATTAAATATTTACCGTCTGGTGACGTAAAGAAAGTCAAAAACTAGAAAACTGACTTTATCATACTAAAAGTTCATATACTTGTGTTAGCTGTATTATATATGTCATTTATGAGCATCTAAACATGTTAACCCGTGTATATGTGGATACGACGAAATATTTATAATAAACTATAATAGGTGTAGTTTATGAGTCATTAACACTATTATAACATTTTGGGACAAGACGAATAATTATATAAAAGTATATAATTATTATACACTATATTAATACTATGGAAAAGTGATATTTATACTTACAAGGGTTTTTATTACACAAAACGTAAACTTGTTTAAACAATTATGTGAGACAAAGTCTTCACCGTACTTACCAGAGTACACACTAAAGTCCCGAATTATAACTAGAATATCGGTAAGAGAGTGTGATACTTGTGTATAGATCTATACGGGACTGACAATCCCGCACCTAAGTTGCTAGCTACAGCTAGACTAGCGGGTCTGGGGTGACAAATGTCTAACATTCCGACACCTGAAGAATGTCGCAGCAGGCCAACTTCGGTTTTAGCATAGTTGTAATAACTCACATGGGAAATCAACGATACATTTAGTTTATGGGGTAACATGCATTCAAATGGTTTTATATAAGAATAAAACTGTGTAATACTATTTTAAGTATAGAAATACTTACACATTTTTGGTCTTAGAGATTTTAATACTACAACTCATTTTTAAGAAAATATTGGATTTTCTGGGAACAAACACTATCATTTTACAAGGAAAGAATTACAGATTTTTCCCATACAAAACTCTTATGAACTCACCAACTTAATTGTTGACACTTTTCAAAACTACTTGTATTATCAGGAAACCGTTAAACAGGTAGTCACAAGGCTTTTGAGGATGGGACGTTATGACGTCGTACTATTCATTTTGTCATCATAATGTAATTGGTTTTGAAACATACAATACTTGGATACAATGTAACGTTCTCAATTATATTTATGATGGTTGTGTTTGCTTTGAATCACTATTCTACATCATGTTGTCATACTGTTCATGAAGTCATCCACCCCCAGACGTTTCCGCTATCCTAGTTTGGGGGTGTGACAGATTAGTATCAAAGCATTGTCTATAGTGAACTAAATATATCAAACCATATAAGATATACAACTATAAATACAATGAGACTAAAACTCTCTGACTAAAAATTTCGTACCAGTATACTTTTAAAATATAATGATATATTTTTATAAAGTATAAGTACATACCTACATATAGAACGGTGTCATAACAAGAACAATACAAAAGTAATAAGATAAGTTGAACACTACAAATAGGCCTAGGTAGTTATTAAAAATGGGGAAAATGCTTTAACATGGTAATTAACTTTTTGTTTTGTTTACATTTAGACAACTTTATTTTTTGTACGCATTTGACCATTTAACTTGTTAAATGTGTTCACATATTGTCATTGTCACCTGATATAGTCGGTGACAATGGTAATATGTGAACACATATAACATATTAAATGGTCAAATGTGTATAAAAAAGTTGTCTAAATGTGAACAAAACGACAAAGATGATTACCCTGGTAAGTCATTTTCCCTTAACTTATTCGCAATAGCTAACAAATGTTGAACTAAGAGAGAGAGAGAGAGAGAGAGAGAGAGAGAGAGAGAGAGAGAGAGAATGGCGAAGGTGTTTGGAATGAGAGATAGATATAGGGTGAAGCGTTTGCAGTGTTTGATATTCACAGAGAGGACGATTGACGATTTGATTCCCTTAAATATATATTTCGTAATTGGGGAAACAATGTAAACAAAGAAACGGATTAGAATTATCATCTCAATACCTACAATTAAGTGGAACCTGATTTAATGGGATTTAGTATAATCCCTCATAAAATTAGGATTTAATACGAAAAATACAATTAGGAAAAAAAAAGACGAATAGGTAGAGTTCGTGGAACATACATCAAATAAACTCTTATTTTTTTAATAGATCTTTGAAGGTACGTATTAACACAATTTTAAAAAAATTGGATTCTTGGTACATATCGTTTGAAGACTAATTTCGGTCATATTTTTTCTCTCCCATGATGATTGAATTGCATTTGATTGTATATGATAAAAAATTTGTTTGATCTGAGTTTGATTTAGACAGAATTGCAAGCAAAATTTCTTGATGAATAATGCAAAAATTACTACTAATACTAATAATCAAGGTTGTAGAACTCGTTACTCGGTACCTGTTCGGCCGACTACCGAGTAACGAGTACTCGGGAGTACTCGGGGAGTACTCGGATTCGGTAATTCATATAAAAATATTTTTAGGTAAATTATATATGTCAAAATCATAAGTTAAAATTATAAGTTGATTGAAATATATAACAAAATTAGATATATGTGATTACACAAAAACTGAAAAACACATAATGGTCTCACTTCGTGAGTAATTACTGAAAATTTAAGATATATATGTAGTAATAATCACATGTGTGTGTTAAATAATAAATCATTAAGTATACTATACATATTAATCACCGAGTGACCGAGTTTTTACAACACTACCCAGTTCAGTAAGGAGTCGATCGGGGAGTACTCGAGATTCTGTAACTCGCCTCGGTAAGGGCCGAGTAGCGAGTACTCGGAGGAGTAATCGGCCAACTCGGCGAGTTTTACAATACTGCTAATAATAGAAACAATTTTATCTCGATTTGAATTTGGTTTAGGTTATGTCAGCGGAAACAACTTATATAAATATATTTTTATTCTTTGAATTTAATAATTAGTCAATTCGTTTTTTATCCATTATGTGTGTAAATTACAATTTGTTTAATTGGCAGCAAAAATTGTGGCTTTGACTTTGAAAAAAAGACGGTAAAATGTAACAATTTGTATTTTGGGACTTAAGATCAAGTTTTATCTTTTAAATGTTATAAGAAAAACTGATTTTTGTTTGTGATTGTATTTTTAATTGCCATAAAGTAATTCTTATCCCCATCCCCATCCCCATCCCCATCTATTCTTAATAAAAGAGTACTTTGCATGACACATGTCCCTCTTATGCACCTCCTCCTTGCCACGTGTCTTAACCAGGAATCTCTTATGCAAAATTTCCCGCCCATACTTTACAGCAAATATAGATACAATCACCTCCTAAAATTCAGCTCATTTACCTGCATATAAAATCAGAAAAAATTAAATATCGATACATCAGCTCCTAAAATTCAGCTCAATTACCTGTATATAAAAACAGATATTAAAGATATTAATCCTATAATTTTGGTAAATTTATGGTCAATCCTACATTTATGGTTATTTGTTTTACAGCATATATTTTGAAATTGAAAAAATAACAATCGATATTATCATATCCTGTAATCCTGTAAATCAGGAATCAAATTAACCCAATTCTTTGCAGAAAAAAAAAGAGAAAACGAAATTGTAGTCAAATATTTTAATTTGAAACAATTACCCACTAATCAGATCCAAAAAAATCAGGAATAAAATCGGCAAAATAAAATACTTTTCTGCAATTAATAAAATTTTTGTGCTTCATTACTCTCTGCATATTTATATTAACCCATCGATGCCCATAATCTTCTACTGCTTTGCCCTCAAGTTTGAGTTTCTTAACTGCTCTGCTCTACCGATTTGCAAAAGGTTAGTAAAACACTCATTTCTATTATTTTTTCCTTTTAACATCAACCTGCACATCTATTTCTGTAATTTCAATCTTTCTTTTTCTCTTTTTTTTTTTCTGTCTTTGTGTTTAGAATGTAATTCGTTTCTTTGCCTTTGTTTCTTGAACATATGTTTACATCAATTAATTGACTGTAATTCTTGCTATATTTGCACGCAATGAAGGTACAATTTTAAAAGTTGTTATTTTTTATTATATGTTTACACAATATGTTTCAATAATTTGATTTTACATTTCATTCAATCCCTTCACTGCTTTCACTGTTTCACATGTCAATTGCTATCTACTCTAATGCTACACGAAAACCATGATAACTATGCATTTTATGAGTGGATAAACGAATTGGTTGTTCTTTGATAATTAGTTCAACTTGTTTTACATTTGTTTTTCCATCCGTTTCATTTTATGTATGTTGATTTTTCTGTGCAGAGTAATGGCACAGCCAAATGTTACTTTGATTTCGACAACAAATTATATAACAAAATTATATATAATTTTTGTCTTTTTTTATAAACTGTTTAACAGAACTAAAAGAGTATGGTTATTCAGCAACAAATTGTATAACAGAACTAAAAGAGTATGGTTATAGATTTTACTTGATGTGTATATTCATTATTTTGAATTTCATTTCATTACTTTTTTTACTGCATTTTCATTTCCAGTCATTTTACATTAGGTTATCAGCTTGGTTGTTCTTTGATAATTAATTCAAGTTATTTTACATTGCTTTTTCGATCCGTGTCATTTTATATATGTTGATTTTTCTGTGCAGAGAAATGGCACAGCCAAATGTTACTTTGATTTCGGATTTGGATATACTTAAAGATGATTCGACTATCAAAGTTAAAGTGATAAACCTATGGAACCTTTTTTCATTCTATAACAAGGATGAACTTTTCTCGATTGAATTAATCTTAATAGATGAACAGGTATTTTACAACTTAACACTATATATTCATTACACATTCAAAATTTAATATGATTTGATGATAATTTTATATATCATACTTCTTTTAGGGTACCAAGATCCAAGCAAATGTATTAAGAAAAAACATCTATCGATTCAAAAACATTCTAAAAGATGGCTTGGCATTTTATATACAATGTCCAAGCTTTGCATCTCAAAGGATGGGTGGTTTTACTTTAACTCGGCAACATCATAAACTTACTTTTGTCCGTAACACTGTTCTTACGGAGTGTCATGACTTTTCTGGACCTGCATTTGGTTTTGAATTTGTTGATTACCAGTCTATTATCTCATTGACCCATCCTAAAAACACCGCTATCGGTTAGTTGCAATTTGTTATAGATTAATTATTGTCAATTTTATGGTTTGAATAGTATATCATATTTTTAAAATCATAACAAAATTTAATTCATCTTTTTTGATGTTCATAGATGTTATTGGATTGGTCGTTGCAATTGGTGAGATGGGGAGAGACAATGATGATATCAAAAAACACAGACTCAACATCCAAATCCAAGATGCAAAGTTTGTTATTTTATATTTTATTTTATTTTATTGGATATTAGATTATCTAATTATAATTTCATTTAATTTAAAACTTTTATTTGTCGGTGGTTTGCAACTAAGTGTCAATTTGTGGGGTGATTTTGCTTACAAAATGCAAGGGTTTCTTGATAACAATTCACACAATCTTCGTATCATTGTTATCATTCAATTTGCGAAACTTAGTATTTGGAGAGGTATACTATAGTATTTTGTTATTAATTATTTTTTTAATCATTAAATTAACACTTATTAAAATCTTTTTTATAGATCGTCCCACAGTTAACACCTATTTTTCCGTGTCGAAGCTGTTCATTAACACAGACATTGATGAAATCAATGTTTTTAAGAAAAGGTATTTTATGTTATATCATTCTAATTTCTCCGATTAACTTTTATGTCACTAATATTAGTTATATGTGATTAATATTACTTATTTGTTATTTGTTATTTCATTATAATTTCTATATTTATCTTTTATGTGATTAATATTATTTACTTTTCTTTATTTCATTCAAATTTCTACAATTAATTTTTATGTGACTAATATTAGTTAATTTTTTTTAACAAACAGTTTGGATGGAGATGATCGCCCTGATTCATCCACAAATACATTCACACTTATGAAGTCTAATAAAGTTTCTGAACATGATGATTTCATGGTTAAGTTTCAGTTGAAGACAATTGCTGATGTTTCAGAACCTGTGGAGGTGTGGTTTTTATATATTTTATAATATTTATAAACCTACTTTTTTTGTTATGTATATTGCATAATCAAAATAAAATTAATATGCAGAAAAATACTTTCATTATCGTGGGCACTATAAAGGGAATTTTACAAAATGAGCCATGACATTATTTGGCATGTACAAATTGCAACTACAAAGCAATTCGGCCTCCTGGTGCAGAAGATCAAGTTGATGATGAAGGATTAACTCGTTATGAATGTCATAATAAGGATTGCACAAAAAAGAAAACTACGTTTATTCCGAGGTTATTATTTTCCTCCTGAATCATTAAAACCTATATTATATTTTATATTGTAATTAATATATTTTGGATTTTCCTTTTTTATAGATATAAGATTCCGATACGTGTGCAAGACAATACTGGTACTCTTACCTTAACCATGTTTGAAAGAGATGGAAAGTATCTTTTGAAAAAATCAGCCCATGATCTGTTTAAAAAAACAGTCAAGGTCGTCTTCCTTGATTAAAATTAAATGATACATTTACTTAATATATTTAGTTTAACTAAATTTTTTTTACTTTTCTTTATTGTAGCTTGGTTTTAGTACTCAACTTTATCCCGGAGAGATAAATGCACTAAAAGGTTTGAAGTTGGCTTTTAAAATATCAATCAGTCGCTTCAATGTCTCGAACAACAACAACCAATACAGTATATGTAGAGTCAGTGATGATGAAAAGTTGATTGAAGAACTCGAAAATAAGTTTACCGTTTCACAGGTCATTAATTTATTTATTATTATTATGCTTAATATTTTTACTATTCTTATAAAAAGATTTATTATTATTATTATTATTATTATTATCATTATCATTATATTATGTATTACTATAATTACTATTATTTTATTATTATTATTATTATTATTATTATTATTATTATATGTGTTCATATTTTTTATTATTTATTATGCAGGTTGGTAATTCACAATCATTTGATATTGGTGAAGCCGATTCTGAATCACAAGATAATAGGATTTTGAAGGTTATATACACTTTATAATAGCATATAATTATTTTATAAATATAAGTTCATATTATAAATTAATTAAGTACAAATTTTTTTTAGGATGCAATTTCTGGGACAGACGACAACATAACACCTTACACTGTTGATAAAAACTCAGCAACAAGTCCCATGAAGGGTTTCAATACACCAACTGCTTTGAAGAGAAATCCGGAAGAAGTGTTTGATCTGGAGTTGAATGAACATTTATCATCATCAAAAACTCCTAAAATATCGCCAGAAGGACGCATTAACCAGATTGTGAAGGTAAAGTTGGAAAAAAGTGGCTGATTTTTTATTTTAAGTTTAAGTTTCGTTAGGTATTGGATTATGATTTATAGACAATGATTATGCATTTTACTTTTCATTAAGTACTTTCACGTTTTGTTTTAGAATTTTCAAACATTTGTTGGGGATGATTGTTTTTTTATTAGTATGTTTAACCTACATTCATAATATATTATTATGAATGTTAATTTATGATTTAGAAATAATTTTGTTATTTAAGTCACTTATGATCTTGGAATAATTTTGTTATTTAACATACACCACATTTATTTTTTAATTTTCAAACATATATTATATAGACTTCTATTTGTAGCAGTTGTTTACATTTGACTTTGAATTTGGATGTTTCTTATTCCTATTCTAAAGTAGCCCAGTCTCTGATTGTGATTGTGCTTCAAAATGAGATTGACTGAAGATCTTAATTCTGGTTGATTATATGTTGTTTATTCATTGATATTTCCAGCTTTGTAGGAGGACGAAAATAACACAATTTAAATTTCACAAATCAAATATTTACAAAAACAAAAACAAATACAAAAAATTTCAATCATATTTTTATTACCTGAAGTAAAACCCTGAAAGATTGAGGTTTTGTTAGCTGACCACATTTCAAGAATGGTGCCCACAGCTTTAGATTCTTCCATATCTAAAGAAAACAAGAAATTATTAAAAGTGTAAACAACAATTTTTTGATAGTAGAATGTTATAATAGGAATAAATAAAGGTACGATACCTAACGAAAAATTAACATAATATTAGTTCATTACCATTTTTGTCCAATTATCATTTGTCTAGGCTACACATACCACCTATCTGTCAATTTAAGAATATTGGTTATAAAATACTAAATATTGTGTATTACATATGTTGATTAAAAGATATGTTAAATAATAAGAAATATAAATAAAAAAAAACACAAAATTTTTATCTCAACTAAATATCATCTTAGGGTTGCCATCTTTTAATGAAAAATTGTGTATTAACAGATTCAATACATTCTAAAATATTATGCAAATCAAATATCCCCTAAGGGTTTCGATATTCAATTAAAATGTGTTTGATACAAATAATTGAATTTAACATATAAATTAATTGTACTGATTGCTATGTTTTAGGCAATATAACTAATGATAAACAAATCTAATTAATAAAAATAGCATTGTTATTTCTCATTTTAACCCTTCTGCATAAAATCCTAAATAAAATCCTAAATAAACATTTATGCATGCACTTATACATCAAGTAATAAGAGTTTTAATAAACTATATCATCAATCAGTCATTTGAATCATATTACTAATACACTTTGTTGTCAAATAAGCTGAGTAGTGTCCACTTTTCCAACCGGCTACGTGAAAGCCAAAAGGGAAAACCATTCCTTTTTCAATAATGGAGTTTGAAATCTTTCCCTTCCTAACCTTTTAATCCAATTAACTATTCATCTGTATTATAAATACTTAAATAATATAATATCTAATGTGATATATAGATAATAAATAATTATCAATAGCAGAAATATACCATTAGACAATTAGACATGGATTGGTGCATAAAATAACTCACTTTTTAAGTTTATTACATTTCAATGTTCGTTGCCCTTGGCTATGGTATATTGCAATCTAATATAACTTATATGGATTTCTGCAATTTGTCACATACCATTTTTATTGGCCTGCAAGATAATGAATCAGTAGTAAAAAGTAAGCGATTTTGATTGAAATATGGATTAAAGGTATGCAAAAAGATAAAGTTTGATAAAAATGAACAATGATTTAAACTAACATAAGTATCTTGAAACACAGTGACCCACCAAAACATCGATTCTTGATCACAACTGAAATATGGATCAGATATGGATTATCTGTATTATACATAAAATTGAAAACCTTACTATACAATGATACAAAACTCATATAATTTACAAGGTATATCAAATAAAATAATTGCTTTATTTACTCATATGATCCCCTAAATAATCATTAACGAGATTTTGTCTAAAATTTAGCAATTTCAAAATTCAAATGTTTAAACAAACACTCAAATTTCAAAAATCGAACCAAAACCATTTCTACCTTATTGTGTTTCTGCTATTAACGAATGTGAGTTTATTCTTTTGAATGGCTTAACTTTTCGCTTATATCTTCAGTCACAACATTTCTGGAACAAAGAAAAACAGGTAAATTTTCTTCGACATAATCTATTTTCTGTTAAAAAAACTAAGATTAACCATCAGTTGATCATCTCTTACCTTAAATCTTGCTTTCTTCAAACCCCAATGTTGCGTTCAACCAGTCTCTGAGTTCGACAGCGGGATTACTCAACGTAAGCTTTTCTTCACTTCACATTTCTAATCGGTGGTATATTAGTATCTTCCTTTATCGATATACATGGATAAATGTTCACAACCTTTAAGAAATCGAACGGTGGCTGTGGAAATGTGTATGTAATCAAAATTCTAGGGCTGGGTTTTTTGTTTCATCGTGTGTGTTACAGACAAAAGGGAAAGGGGAAAGTTTGGGGAATAGTGATAACTTTTAGGTGGGTTTTATTATAAATCAAAAATTATGAATAATCTTTAAAATGGTTAAAATTAAATTTATTTAATTTCTCATGTATTTGATTTACTTTATGCATAAATACGGTTTTAAATGTCAACCCGAATATCTTAAACATTTGAATACATTAGCTGTATTGGAATTTTCAATATATATATATATATATATATATATATATATATATATATATATATATATATATATATATATATAAGGGTAGTGGAATTTCCATTGTATTATCAAAATCGAGCATGAACAATGATAAAAATACGTTATCACTTTCTCTAACATAAAAAAACCACTTTTATGATCGATAAATATATTATGTTTCTCCAATTGTATTGCCATAACATAAGTTTCGCATTATGATTTATAACTATCTTTTGTTTGTTATTATTATTCAATTTCTTAATTGAAGTTTATTTAGATTACATAAGTTACCAATCATTTGTAATAGTTATTTTAAAATTATTAATTTTTATAAGTTAACTTTATTGATTTTATTATATATCAAAGAAGAATATGGATGCTACATATGCTAGAGAAAGAAGAAGAAAGAGAAAGTTATACTTGGATAATAAAAAATCTAAGAATAACTATACCGCGGAATCGTCTCAACGTATATCTATTGCACATGCTACTCATTTTAGCCAATACGGTAATTTTCTTACTTTTTTTTATATATTTAATATATTTTATTTATTTATTTTTAATCTATTGTTCATAATTATTTTAAAAATAAATAAATTTTTATAAAATATAATATATTTAATTTTATATAAAAATGTTCTTAAATTATTTACTATCATTTTACAGGTTCAATTAACACTACAACTTCTACAAACGCTAAAGAGAGGAGAAAAATTAGAAAGTTATATTTGGATAATAAAAAATCCAAAGTAAATTTTAACACATCTACCCATCAAAAATCACCTATTACACATGTTTCTTACATATCAAATACAGGTATTGTTATTCTTTTATTTTATAATTCTTTTTGAACTATATAAATTATATCAAATTGCTAAATTCTAAAGTTTAATTGTTTTTTTATAATTAATTTTATTGGTTTTATTACTAACAATATTTCTTTTTTTTTTCATTACATAACAGATGTCTACAATCGTTGTAGTCATTTAGTATCTGTAGATAACTACAGAAACGTTACATCAGATAAGGAAAATCTAAACTCAGTCAAATCATTGGTATATCAACATACAACTATTCATTCTCAGTCTGCAGATATAAATGTTAGAACTCCTTTATCTAACATTTCAAATCGTATGCATTTCTTTATAGACAGATTCTAAAATATATGTTTACCAGTTATATAATTTATACAAATTCCTAACGTTATAATTTGTATTTTTATTTTTTCAGGAAATTATATTTTTCATAATAACATTCAAACACCGCTATCTATTAACAATGATAATCCATTGTTTGGTATTGGCATGACATCTACCGGTCGTTCAACCATCACTCAAAAATCTTCATCAATCAAGTTACCAAAAGGAAAACATCAATTAAAAAGGAAGACTACACACATATCTGCTATACCTATGATTGACTTGACATTAGATGAAGAAATTAATGATGACCATATTATTGAAGATGTTTTTCGCGGTACTTCACAAGGTGATCATAAATATAGAAAATTTAATATTTTTATTTAATATTTTTAATTATATTAATTATTTTTAATTTATTTATGGGATTCAACAGATTACTTGGATCATAGAGACCAGATTGTCATATGTCAAATTTGTCATGCAAAACTATGGAAAGATGAATCGCTTAGAGGAAAAAAAACGGGAATACATCTTATTCGTTATGTTGTGGTTACGGCAAAGTTGAACTACCACCTTTAAAAGAAGCACCGTCATCTTACAAAAATCTTTACCGTTCCGTAGATTCTAAAAGCAAACACTTCATGAAGAACATTCGACGTTACAATTCAATGTTTTCATTTACATCTATGGGAGGAAAAGTTGATTCATCCATCAACACGGGCAACGCACCATACATATTTAGACTTAGTGGTCAAAATTATCATAGTATGGGAAGTCTTCTACCGACAGGTGGATCTAGACCAAAATTCTGTCAGTTATACATATATGATACGGAGAACGAGATTTCAAATAGATCAACAAGTATTGGGTAAATTTTTACAATTAACTTTAGTAAATCAATTCAATTCATTTTAATTTATTTACTAACAATAAATAATTTTTTATAATATTTTCAGTGGACCAAAGAGCGCTTCTACATCAACTTCAATATCATATGATCTCCAGATTATAGAATTTTTGAAGGTTATGTTAGATTCAAACAATGCGTTGGTCAAGTTTTATAGGATGGTAAGAGACAGTCTTCACGAAAATCCAGGTGCTAATTTGAAGTTAAGATTAATCGGAAAAAGAGAACAAGATGGAAGGACGTATAACTTACCAACTTCTTCTGAGGTAGCAGCTTTAATTGTTGGTGACATTTGTGATTCAATTGAAAAAAGGGACATCATTGTTGAAACCGCATCTGGATTACTAAAACGTATCAGTGAGTTACATCCTTCTTACCTTGCTCTTCAGTATCCATTACTATTTCCATATGGAGATGATGGTTATAGAGTTGACATCCTTCATAGAAGTATAACAGCTTCAAGTAACAGCAAACGCCCGACATGTACAATGAGAGAAATCCTTCATAGAAATTATAATGAAATAACAAATAACAAATAAGTAATATTAATCACATATAACTAATATTAGTGACATAAAAGTTAATCGGAGAAATTAGAATGATATAACATAAAATACCCTTTCTTAAAAACATTGATTTCATCAATGTCTGTGTTAATGAACAGCTTCGACACGGAAAAATAGGTGTTAACTGTAGGACGATCTATAAAAAAGATTTTAATAAGTGTTAATTTAATGATTAAAAAAATAATTAATAACAAAATACTATAGTATACCTCTCCAAATACTAAGTTTCGCAAATTGAATGATAACGATGATACGAAGATTGTGTGAATTGTTATCAAGAAACCCTTGCATTTTGTAAGCAAAATCAGCCCACAAATTGACACTTAGTTGCAAACCACCGACAAATAAAAGTTTTAAATTAAATGAAATTATAATTAGATAATCTAATATCCAATAAAATAAAATAAAATATAAAATAACAAACTTTGCATCTTGGATTTGGATGTTGAGTCTGTGTTTTTTGATATCATCATTGTCTCTCCCCATCTCACCAATTGCAATGACCAATCCAATAACATCTATGAACATCAAAAAAGATGAATTAAATTTTGTTATGATTTTAAAAATATGATATACTTTTCAAACCATAAAATTGACAATAATTAATCTATAACAAATTGCAACTAACCGATAGCGGTGTTTTCAGGATGGGTCAATGAGATAATAGATTGGTAATCAACAAATTCAAAACCAAATGCAGGTCCAGAAAAGTCATGACACTCCGTAAGAACAATGTTACGGACAAAAGTAAGTTTATGATGTTGCCGAGTTAAAGTAAAACCACCCATCCTTTGAGATGCAAAGCTTGGACATTGTATGTAAAATGCCAAGCCATCTTTTAGAATGTTTTTGAATCGATAGATGTTTTTTCTTAATACATTTGCTTGGATCTTGGTACCCTAAAAGAAGTATGATATATAGAATTATCATCAAATCATATTAAATTTTGAATGTGTAATGAATATATAGTGTTAAGTTGTAAAATACCTGTTCATCTATTAAGATTAATTCAATCAAGAAAAGTTCATCCTTGCTATAGAATGAAAAAAGGTTCCATAGGTTTATCACTTTAACTTTGATAGTCGAATCATCTTTAAGTATATCCAAATCCGAAATCAAAGTAACATTTGGCTGTGCCATTTCTCTGCACAGAAAAATCAACATATATAAAATGACACGGATCGAAAAAGCAATGTAAAATAACTTGAATTAATTATCAAAGAACAACCAAGCTGATAACCTAATGTAAAATGACTGGAAATGAAAATGCAGTAAAAAAAGTAATGAAATGAAATTCAAAATAATGAATATACACATCAAGTAAAATCTATAACCATACTCTTTTAGTTCTGTTATACAATTTGTTGCTGAATAACCATACTCTTTTAGTTCTGTTAAACAGTTTATAAAAAAAGACAAAAATTATATATAATTTTGTTATATAATTTGTTGTCGAAATCAAAGTAACATTTGGCTGTGCCATTACTCTGCACAGAAAAATCAACATACATAAAATGAAACGGATGGAAAAACAAATGTAAAACAAGTTGAACTAATTATCAAAGAACAACCAATTCGTTTATCCACTCATAAAATGCATAGTTATCATGGTTTTCGTGTAGCATTAGAGTAGATAGCAATTGACATGTGAAACAGTGAAAGCAGTGAAGGGATTGAATGAAATGTAAAATCAAATTATTGAAACATATTGTGTAAACATATAATAAAAAATAACAACTTTTAAAATTGTACCTTCATTGCGTGCAAATATAGCAAGAATTACAGTCAATTAATTGATGTAAACATATGTTCAAGAAACAAAGGCAAAGAAACGAATTAATGATCTACCGGTCGTTCAAGTAACAGCTTCAATTGTTGATATTTCAGAAGATATTCTCATTAATGATCCATGTGATCCTATTGGTTCATTAATCAATTTTGTATATCCTTCCATTCTTGAAAACTTCAACATCGCGGGTTATTTTCAAGAAAGAGCAATACTTGCTCCCAAAAATGAAGTTGTTCAAGAAATAAATGATCGGTTGCTAAAATTGATTCCAGGAGAGGAAAAAGAATATTTAAGTTCAGATAGCCTCTGCCAATCTGAGTTTGTCCATGATCAGTTTGATGCAAATTTATACTCACCTGATGTTTTAAATGGTCTTAAAATGTCAGGTATGCCAAACCATAATCTCATTTTAAAAGTCGGTGTTCCAGTTATGTTATTGAGAAACATTGATCAGAAAAATGGCTTATGCAATGGCACTAGACTACAGGTCAAAACTTTGGGCAAACGTGTTATCGTGACAGTTATCATATCTGGAAGTAATATTGGAAAGCGGACTTTTATTCCAAGAATGTCTTTAACTCCTACTGAAAACAAGATCCCGTTCAAATTCCAAAGAAGACAATTCTCATTGGCTGTATGTTTTGCAATGACAATTAACAAGAGCCAAGGACAGTCTTTATCGAAGGTTGGATTGTTTCTCAAGGATCCTGCTTTTACACATGGCCAATTATATGTTGCTTTATCTAGGGTTCAAAGTAGAGAATGATTAAAATTGTTAATTTTAGATAACCATGGTAAACTATCAAATAAAACATCCAATGTCGTGTATAAAGAAGTTTTTAGAAATTTATAAAAACTTTGTACAACTTTATTATTTATATCAATTTATGTTTCTTGTTTTATTTAAATTTTTGCATTATACAAAATGATTATTTTCTTACATATCTATAAATACAAATTGTTTATTTGATATTCAAACGATTACCATTTCTTAATTTCAACCAATCATTATATCATTATCCAATTACATACAAAACATTGCTAAATAATTAAGTTATAATTTAATTGATATTATTTTGAAATTTCTCACCCGTGGTGTCCACGGGTTATAACCTAGTACTTAATAAAAACCTCCTACATACCACATGACATTCTTTTAAGCCACCACTATGCCACGTGTCACTACCACAAAAAATGTTTGACTAATTTTCCCGCCCATGGATTGCTAGGATTGTCAATTAATCACCTCCTAAGATTAAGCAAATTAGTTTTAATATCCAAAATTAAACTCAATTGAAAATACGTTTTATATATTTAAACACATATATAAATGGTATCCAAGAAATCAACTCCATTCCGGTAAACACAGCAATTAATATTTAATCACCGATAATTTTTGACGTTTGAATTGTTTATTAGCAAAGATCTGAACCAATTTCATTCCAATCCGCTCATTTACGTTTGAATTGTTTATCAACGCTTAATATTTATCCAAGAAATCGGCGTTGTTGATCTCCTTGCTTCTTCAATAAGGGCAAATATCAGACAAAAATTGATACAAATCCAAACAATAGGGAGATGTAAATGAAAATATAGGGACGAGCCATGATTCTGAGTAATTTACACTTTCAAAGCAACCCATTAGTTTTGAAGAACGCGATCATGCTTTGAATGCTATATTCATCAGTTTTTGTATATATATCTGACGTTACTCTGTTACAATTTAATTTTATCTGTTCTATTTCCATTTCCCGCCCTATCTCCCGATTCCCATTTCCGTACGATAATTTTGATTAGTTTATCTCCCACACCCATCTTTTTCTGATCACGAACTGTTTGAATCCTGGGGTTTAATTGTTACAAAGTGTGTCTGATTTTTTATTAAAATTCTTCAAATCATAGAAGCTGTAAGGCGATTGAGAATTCAAACAGATGGGAAAGAAGATGGAACTGCCATGGCGGGTTCAATGCCCTACCCAGATCGTCCTGGTGAACCCGATTGTATATTTTGTTTAAGAACCGGCTTGTGTGGCTATGGAAACATTTGTAGGTTTAATCATCCAACCCACATTGGTCAGGTAATAAAAAAAAAACCCCTTTTATTTTTCTCAATCGGAATAAAACGATTGTTGCTCTTCATGTCTGAAATTCGATTTTTAATCAGGCCAATCAACTTCAACTTGGAGGTGAGCTTCCAGAAAGAGTTGGAGAACCAGATTGTGTGGTAAGTCTCTTCTCCACCAGAGTGGGTGGTAGGGGTGTCGAACGGGTAAAATTTTCGGGTTTCGGGTAAAACGGGTATTTCCTTAAGAAAATAATACCTGATACCCAACTTATATTGTAATTCGGGTTTTCGAGTTTCGGGTATTCGGGTTTGAGGTCGGGTCGGGTAATTATCGGGTATACCCGAAAATTTCTTAAATGACACTTATTGATAAATTTTTTTTTATTTTTTTTTTATTATTATTTTTTTATTTTTACATGTTGGTTGGTTTAATAAAGATTCAGGTAGAAAAAAACTCCATACAATTAACAAGTACATATATAATAACAATACAAATCATTATAATATGTTATGTACTTTTTTAATTCCATTCCGTGCGATAGTGAGAAACTGAGAATTGTGATGACGGTTCAGGACTTCAGCTTCAGCGTCGTATTCCCTTTGCAAGTTTGCGTCAACTGTCGAGCCGTCGTTCATAAGAAGGAAACGAAGGGTTTTGTTTTATTTGAAGTGTGCGTACGTGACTGCATTGTATATTTGGTATTATTTAAAAAACGAATTCGGGTATTCGGGTATACCCGAAAATAAATATTCATACCTAAAACCCGACCTATATTATTATCGGGTTAACCTATTACCCGAATGTTCATACCCGTTACCCGTTCTACCCGACCCATTCTACCCGAATTCGGAACGGGTCGGGTGAGTAGAACGGGTTTCGGGTTTTTTCGACAAGCCTGTTGTGTGGTAAGTCTCTTCTCCATCATGTTGACGATGATAGTTAGGGATAATTAAGTAATTTCACATCCTTTTTTTTTCAGTATTTTCTAAAGACGGGTACTTGCAAATATGGATCAACCTGCAAATACAATCATCCTCGTGATAGGAGAGGTGCTGGACCAGTGGTGTTAAACATGGTTGGGTTACCTATGAGATAGGTTGCTATTTACTAATCTTGATTTTCAATTTCTATTTTTCTTTAAAATGATATTTTAAACTAACTTATAAATAGTTAATTAGGAAGAAAAAGCTTGTGCACATTACATTCTAACTAGATCTTGTAAATTTGGAGTGGCATGCAATTTTCATCATCCACAGCCATCAATGGATGGATCTAACATTCAATTGCCATATTCATCACAACCACCACCTCTTATCAATGGTGGTTCTACATGGTCATTACCTAGGGCAACATATGTTTCTGATCCTCTTTTACAGACTCCTCAAACTTATTTACCAATTGTTCTTCCTCATTCTCAAGGAATTGGGCCCACACAAGGTTGGAGCACTTACATGGTAAAGTTAATTGATGTAAATTTTGGGTTTTTGTTTGTGGGTTATGAAAAGTATGATGTCTAAAATAAAGTAAATTGTAATTTATTTTTTGTTGAGTTCAAATATTGTGTCTGATATGGTGTTTGTTTGGTTTTGGGTTTTGGTCAGGGAAGTTTGAGCTCGGTAAGTTCAGGCAGCATCTATGATGGCCCAGGCAGCATTGAACAGCCCTATTCCTCTGGTTCTACTAATCTGCCCGAACGGCCTGGGGAACCAGAATGTTGTTATTTTATGCACACTGGAAACTGCAAATACGGATCAGACTGCAAATATTATCATCCAAAGGAAAAGATTGCTCAACTTGCTGCTAGCTCTTTGGGCCCACTTGGCCTTCCACTAAGACCTGGAAGTATAAAACGGGTCAACCCATTTACATGATATTGGATAAACGGGTCGATTTTCATTAGCTTTATCTTATTTTACTTGAATGCAAATGCAGGGGCAAGCAGTGTGTTCATATTATAGTCTTTATGGAATCTGCAAGTTTGGGCCAACTTATAAATATGATCACCCTTTGATGGGGTACTCATACAACTACAGCACGAGTCTACCTAATGCTAATGCTAATGCACCATCTTTGTTCCCATATGAAGGGGTGAATTCGTCAACACTTCATTCTTCAGGGTCTTCCCCGTCAAAGTCATCTAAAAATGAAGGTGCTAAAACCCCAGGAGGTGGTTCACCTTCACCTTCGCCTCAACGTGCTGCATCTCCATCACATTTAGAATTGGGTTGTGTTTTTGAGAGATGATGATTTTTATGAGGGCTTTGTTTTTGGTTCTGAATAAAATTATGCAGATAAGGAAAAATGTTATACTTTTACTGCTATTACTTTTACATTTTATCTGGTATGAACTATTTTTTGTTGTTTTTCTATGGATGATTTTGTTAATTTTATGAGTGGTGATGCCATTTTTGTTCTAATATTTTATTCGTTACCTTTTTTTTATGGTAATGACATTAGTTATGTTGTGGACTATTTAATGGGTTGTTTCTTTTTGACACCTTTTAATTTCAACAACTATATATGAATTAATAGGGGTGAGCATGAGTCAGTTTTGAGAAAAAACCGAGCGTAAACCGCAATTTTTTTATTGTTTTATTATTATTATTTATTTATTATTTATTTTTTTTGTGTGTGTGATTTTAAAAAATATTCGATTTCGGTTCAAGTTATTGGTTATTTAAGTTTGGGTTTTTGGTTTTTCTGTTTGAACCTATGGGTACAGTCTATAATATTAGTATGGTATTGATGCATTATTGTTCATGGATCTAACTTCATGAATTGCAAGTACAGTTGACTAATTAATGAGCTAGCAATGTGTTTTATAATTTTGAAGATCTTATTTGGGAAATACATTGCCAAGTACTAATTTCGCCCTCTTTTGATGTAGGTAACTACAAGTTTACAACTATTGTTCGGATGACATAAAACCCATGTATGACTATTTATTATGGATTATGGAATTTATGAATAAGAGTTATCTGTTAATATGCTTATACGAATTGCTGGTAAAACAATTTTGGTTGACATGGTTTTTTTGTTTCGGTTACTAATTTTTTTAATCTTATTTTTGTTATAGATATTTTCAATAGTCTATTTGAGTTTAACATCTTAGTGTCATAAATTTCCCTGTTATGTGTACCATTTATATAGCAACATACTTATATTTATTAACCGGAATATCAACATACTTATATTTTTTACATAAATTACAATGTACGTATATTTATTGAGTAAAACAACAAACTACTTACAGAATTTGAAGTACAATGTTATTAACTAAATTATTATTATTTATGATTAAGACTATTTTTTTAAAGTGTATGTTATTTAAATTTATCACCCCGTGTAGTATACGGGTTATAACCTAGTATACTTAATAAATATCGAGATTAAAGCTACAAAAATTCTAGATTTAAAATATATAACATGCATCTTGTAAAATAAAATTTATTTTATGAAACAAAAAAACTCTATTTATATTTATATGTTGGTGAGGTGATGTGGTGTGAAATAACAATTATTCAAGTAATGGGTGAAAGTTGGAATTTTTTGGAAAAAAAAAAAAACTTTTAAGTCTAAAAGAAAATCAAAATATAAGTTTTTTTTTTAAATGAAAATAACCTTTTTCTCAAAACAAAAATGGACTCTTATATATTTCTCTTACCCTAAGAACAAATTTCCCACTTTTAACTTATCCTATCCGCCGGCCAGCATCACCGAGAAAAAGCAGCCAGTCGCCAGAAATCGCTCCCACTGGCTGGAAACTATATATATAGTGGATCCCGGTTATCCGACACTAGTTCAAACTAGACAAAATTGCAAAAATGGTCCATGTGGTATGCAAATTTTTGGGGTTTTAGTCCAAACTCCGAGTTTTTTGGATTCATGGTCCTTTTGGAGTGGTTCGTATGTGAAAATAGTCCCTCCGAGAATTGAAATGACTATAATACCCTTGGGGTATTTATTTTCCATTTTTCTTTCATTTCTTTTTAAAACTAATACTATTTTATTTATTTTAATAATTAAAAAAATAAGAAGGCTCTCTCTCTCATGATGAAAGAAGAACATGGAATCATCTTTTTGTTCATCCTCACTTCCTAATTAATCTATAACAGCTTGTCTTCCTTCTTCTCATCTTACCTTCCCAATTTCAAGGATCAGTTCCGTCTCCCCCAAAGTTAGAGTACAAATAACAAACCTCACATCCCAAACCCTAGATGAGAATCCAATTGAAACCAACATCACAACTCCTGTATCCTTCTTCACTCTCGACATTCACCAATCAACCGAGAATAATCATTATTCTTTATCCAGATAGTTATGCACACAGATCAACACACAAGTTCAACCTAATTCCATTGGTGAAATTGATGTTCTACATGATTTCTACAAACTAATGAAACGAAGATCAATTTTTGATTTCTACAAAAAATAACTTGATATCTGCAAAAAAAAAAAAAAAAAAAAAAAAACTACGATTTCTTAGGGTTGAAGTTTGAAATCAATTTTTTTCAAGAGTTCTTAGGCTACAGGTTCGTCATTTTCCGCTTCTAAAGTAATCAAAATGAAACTTGTGACATAACATTTTTTTAGAAATCTTGATGTGGTTTATGGTAGCTTTTATCCTCCTCCTACTCAGCTTTTCCCTAATTTCATGGTTGTTCTTGTGGATTACATGTGAAATCGATCCGTTGCAAGAGAATAAGGGGTGTGATTTTACTGGAGTGAATCAATTTTAACATAGTTGTGCACCAATCGATCTGCAATTGAAAAATGGTGATGGTGTTCGGACCGACCAGTTTCCACAGTGGCCTACGATTTTTTCTTTCTGATGGTTGTAATGGAGGTGGGGGATGTGAGCAAAAGCAACGAGAGGGAAGAATTGAAAGAGAAAGCACATGCATAAACTTGTTTTTTTGGATCTGGGTTTCTTTGGAATCGACACAAACATGAGAGAGAGAGAGAGAGAGAGAGAGAGCCTTCTTATTTTTTAATTATTAAAATAAATTAAATAGTATTAGATTTAAAAAGAAATTAAAGAAAAATAGAAAATAAATACCCCAAGGGTATTATAGTCATTTCAATTTTCGGATGGACTATTTTCACATACAAACCACTCCAAAAGGATCATGAATCCAAAAAACTCGGGGTTTGGACTAAAACCCCAAAAATTTGCATACCATTTTTTTAATTTTGTCTTCAAACTAATTAACCAACATTTGGTATTGGTCTCTTTGCAAATTGCACCATCCCTACACCAGGATTCAAGTAATTTTGCCTGTTTCCAAAGCTTCCATTATGGGCTTAATCACCAACACAATCTCCCCAACCACACTACAAACCGCCACACTAAAAAATATCCCCAAATACACCACGCTAACACCTATGTTCTCCGGCATCCATAATGACTCCGCCCTAAGGAACAAAGTCTGAACCACGAGTGCCATCATCACTGTCATCCCAAACATGTTTACTCTGTAACCTGATGGTTTTATTGATCACCAATAACACCACCCTCCAACAAGCTAGCAACAACCCCATTGAGTATACCATAGCAAACGCACAAAAAACAATACTGCTTAGCAATGGGTATGTGCAAATCATCCTTTTGTTCCCGAAACTATCAACAGATAACACCCATGGCAGTTGCTCCTTCAATGGCGTAAAGAACAACAAGATAATTTGTAGAATCAACGTTGGTAGGGTCATTAACATACATACCATTTTTCAGACGAACTGATAGGAGCCAATTTGAGATGGCTAATCTCCCAGAAAGTAAGAAGAAGAAGGATTAAAAACACAGGAGAATGGAACAATTTTCTGCTTAATTCTTGAACTCAAACATACGATTACATTCAAATAAATATGCTTCTAAACTCTAAACTTCATGCAACAAATAAACAGGAGATAAGAATGGGAACATGACCTACTGCACTAGTGGGAAACATGCTAATTAACATTAAAGAAACATGCATGCAAAATGAAAGGTGGGTTCCTAATAACACGCAACAAGCTACTCTTTGACTAAATAAACGGAAACGTGGCTAACGAAAACAGGCTAAGCAGGTTCGTATCAGTACTCCCGCCCTAAAAAATGGTCTTGTCCTCAAGGCCGAGATCGTATTGTGTGTTGAAAGTCCACGGTGGTTCGTTTTCGGATTGAAGAAGGAGGAATTTGGGTGGATTGCATTGATGACCCGGTTGGTATTTTGCTGGGCAATTGTAGCAAAGACCTTCGGACCGACGTTTCTGCATCTCGGTGGGGCTTAACCTTTTGATTGGAAGTGTTGGGGGAGGTGGTGGAGGGGTGGGCAATAATGGAGGTTTCATAGGGGAAGGCTCGAGGGAATCATCGGAAGAGGGAAGTTGAGCACGAAGTTTATTTTCTATTAGCTTCGCGAGGCCGTAAGTTTGGTGGAGAGTTTGGGGGCCATGAAGGGCAAGTTCTGAATATCGGGGCGAAGCCCGGAGAAGAAACAATCACGTAATACCAATGACACAATTACTAATCTTCTCAAATTCCGATTGGTAGGCGGCAACTGTGGAGACTTGCTGGAGCTTGAAAAGTGTAGCTTGGTGGTTCTCGTAGGTAGAAGGACCGAAGCGGGTTTCAAGTGCACGAGTAAATTCAGCCCATGTGTCAAGGAGGTTGTTGTTGGACATGTGTTTGTACCAACTGAGTGCATCACCCGTGAAGTAAAACACGGACAGCGCAAGTCGTTGGTTTGGTGGGATAGCATAATAGGTAAAGTAATTTTCCGCTTGGAACACCCAATCAAGCGGGTTTGATTCGTCAAAGTTGGGGAGATATATTTTTGGTGGGCGTGGGTGAGTATTAGGCGGCGGCGGCGGCGATGGCGGTGGTGATGGAGGCGGCGGTGGTGGCGGAGGCGGCCGGTGGTTGTTGGCGGCGAGGAGTTTGACAATGTTGTTCATGGTGTCGGATTGTGCAACAAGATGAGTGGTGATGGTGTCTAGGCGGTGGTTGGTGGCGGTGGCAAGGTGGATCAAAATCTGCAATTGATCATTGAGGGCGACATTGGGGTTGTCGGGGGTGGCCTTGGGGTTGTCGGAGGTGGAGCCGGACTCAGTTTTTGGAGGCAATGAGACGATGATGAAAGCACAAAATGATAGTAGCCAATTTGAGATGGCTAATCTCCCAGAAATTAAGAAGAAGAAGGATTAAAAACACAGGAGAATAGAACAATTTTCTGCTTAATTCTTGAACTCAAACATACGATTAC